CTTAGCAGTCCATGGTATATTCAATACTCTTCTTGAGCACCACAGCTCAAAGGCATCAATTCTCCTTCTATCATCCCTAGTCATCGTCCAGCCCTCCGATGCATAGCAAGTGATTGCAAAGACCATGGCCTGTATCAGGTGCAGCTTAGCCTCCAGACTGACATCGTTGCACTTCAGTACTTTAGAGAGGTCTCTAACCACAGACTTTCCCATCACAGTATGTCTTTTAATTACCTGGCTGCTGGTGCCAAGACTGCTGACTGTGGAGCCAAGCAAACTAAAATTGAACAATCTCAATATCTTCATTATGATGCTGCCAGTAGGCCCAGTGGTGAGAATCTTTGTTTTCTTGATACTGAGCCTCAATCCATACTGAATACTGCAGTCCCTGACCTTCCACAGCAAGTGTTTCAGGTCCTCCTCAGTTTCACAAAACAAACATTTCATACTGTCTATGGCACATGCCAAGGTGTTTCTAAGAAAAAAAAAACAAACTCAGAACAACACAGTCCTACTGCTTATTTCAGTGAATACTGATGAATTACTTGGCTTTCCAAAGTACAGAGCAATGATGTCAGCTCAAAGACCAAGGATCATCTGACCCAAGCCATGGTCCTTTCAATTACCTGCTATGCATCTCAAAGTTGGACAATGAGTAAGGATGATAGAAGAATTGATGACTTTGAGTTGTGGTGTTGGAGAGGAGCACTAATTATCACATAAACTGAAAAAAGAACAGATATGTCTTGGGGAATGTGCAAACAATGGTCTTTAGAGGCATGGATGGTGAAACCACCTCTCACATACGATGGACTTTTTGTTAGGCGGGGCCAGTCCTTGGAAAAGGACATCATGCTTGGAAAGGTGGAGGGTCAGCAAGAGAGGAAAACCCTCAATGGTATATATGACTGACACAGTGACTATGACAGCAGGTTAAAGTGTGGCAGAGATGATATTGCAAGATAGGATAGGGTTTAGATCCACTCTTCATAGGGTCTTTATGAGTCACATTGAACTAATAGCACCTAACAACAAAAGCACAGACTTAGTAACTGCTGTTGTTTTTATGTGCTGCCAAGTTGCCTGCAACTCATGAAGACCCTAAACCCTGCTCTATCCTGTACCAATCGCACTGTCTCTGACACACCTATCCCCATTACCCTATTCACTGAATCAATCTATGTTATCAAGGGTCTTCCACTCCTGCGCTGTCCCTCCACCTTCCAAGCAAGACATCTCTCACCAAGGACTGATCCTGCTTGCAACATGTCCAAAGTATGTCAGATGAAGCTTCTGAATCCTTGCCTCCAAGGAGCAGCCTGGCTTCACGCTTCACCCTCTCCAGGACAAACTTGTTTGTTCTCCTAGTAGTCCCTGGTATATTCAATACTCTTCTCCAGCACCACAGATCAAAGGCATCTATTCACCTTCTATCATCCCTAGTCATTGTCCAATTGCACAGACCATAAACTATCAGGCACACCTTAGTCTCCAGACTGACAACTTGCTCTGCAGTACTTTAGAGAGGTCTCTGACAAGAGACTTTCCCAGTGCAATTTGTCTTTTAATTTCTTGGCTGCTGGTATCCAGAGTGTTGATTGTGGAACCAAGTTAGCTAAAACTGTTAACATTCTCAATGTCTTCAACATCTATCATGATACTGCCTATCAGCCCAGTGGTGAGAATCTGTTTTCTTGATGCTGAGATTCAATTCACATTGAAGGCTGCACTCCTTGACCTTCTGCAGCAAGCGCTTCAGCGCCTCCGCAGTTTCAGCAAGCAGGGTTGTCATCTGCATAATGCAGACTGTTGATGAATTTACATCCAATCCTGATGCCACATTTTTTCCTCATAGAGCCCAGTAACTACTGTTGTTGTTGTTGTTATGTGCCATCGAGTCGCCTGCGACTCATAGCGACCCTATATACAACAGCCCTAAACTCCGCTCTGTCCTGTGCCAATCGCACTGTCTCTGACACTCCCATCCCAATTATCCCAGTCACTGAATCAATCCACCTC